AGGGCGCGCCACACCTCAAAATCATTGATCCTTATCTTCACGACAAGCGCGTCATCGTGAGGGTAGTGGACTCTGCGTGCGTCATCCTCGGTGAAGAAGATCGATTCCTCTGTTCTTGGCCGCTTCGGGGGGTTCTACTCTTCCCTTCTGATCTCACGAGCTGAGGTCCGAGCTGCGGCCGATGTGCAGCCCACAACAATTGATCCTCCGGTGATCATATGTATGGTCCCTCGAACTGGCCTCTCTTCGGGAGGTGGCCTCTGTGGCTACTCACCTTTCCTGCTGCTAGATTCAGGGCGTCCCTACCTTGCTCGCCCTACTGACCTGCTCTTCTATCTTGTCGCGGAGGTTCTTACAACTTTCTGTACTATGACCGTGATCTTTATGAAAATTACAATACAAATTTTTATTTCTAACACTCGAGTCCCCTCTCACCCGAGGTGGCCACTTCACATACGGGCATCCTTGATCGCCATGAGAATCTCGACCCGCTTTGCATTTAGAGGTGTGTAGTCAGTCCTTTCCGCTGGAGGAGCTTGGAAAGACTGACTTGTCCTTCCTCCCCGAGCTGGGTCTGTCTTCTTCTTGCTGTCCCCATGAATCGATGACTCAACTTCTCTTTTCCTCTTTTCAGGCAAACTTTCATTCTTCTAGTTAATCTCCTCCTTCATTCTTATGAACTGGTCTGCGAGTTTGAGGAACTCGGTTACAGTCTTAGGCCGGTTGACAACTACATGCCACTTAAACTCCTTGTGTGTTATGCCTCTCTTGTCTGCTGTGAGGCGCATTGCGGGGTCTAAGTCAGGTATCTGTAGACAAGCATCATTAAACCGCTTGATGTAGCTGTGGATGGACTCCCCTTCCCTCTGGACTATGCCGAGGAGACTTTCTTGGGTTCTAGGGCATCTTTTGCTGGTGACGAAGTGGGAGGTGAAGACCTGCACAAACTGTGCCCAACTTTTTATTGTCCCGGGCGCAAGGTTCCTGTACCACGTGCGGGCTACTACTTTGAAAGTGGTAGAGAAGGCCACACACATGCAGGACTCGCTTGCCCTTGTCAGGTGCATTTGCGACTAGAAGGCATCCATGTGATCATTCGGGTCAAACGATCCGTCATACTTGTCTAGGGGAGGTAATTTGAAGTCCTTGGGCATTGGGACGGCCAAGAGTTCGAGGGACAGAGGGGATGGTACGGAGAGGAGCGGAGTGGTTTTCACTTTGTCCGAGCTTACCTCTTCTTTCTCTTTGAGTTTAGGTAGGTGATGTGTCGCAATTCGGCGAGCTCGGCGATGTCTCCTCTGCTTCTTTGCGGGCTCTGCATTGGTGTTGCTCGCTTCTGTGTTGTCAAGAACGGTTCTTGCAGGGAGCAGCTTGGACTACTGATGACGACTGTGGACCGGTTCTTGCCTGGAGTCCGCAGCCAGGACTTTGAATCGGTTCTCAAGGAGAGGGGCCACGAACTCAGAAAGCTGAGGTGATGCGGGTCTGGGAGGCTGAGAGTTTCCCGACTTGACCGTGCGCGGAGAGCTGGGTGTGACTGGATTCTCCATCCTGTCGCGGGATGAGACTTGGCTCCTGGGAGGATTCTGGGCCTGGGAGGTCTCTCCTTGGCGAAAGGGGTGTTCATTTCGGCGACGAGGCTTAGTCTGTTGCGAGGCTGGGTGCCGTGGTGGAATCGGTGACTGGTTCAGAGGCAACAGGGGGAACTGCTGCTGGTATACATGGTGTAGAGCTTGCTGCTGGTACAACTGAAGTTGTTGGACTTGCTGCACTTGAGCTTGTTTGGCTCGCATGCAATGCATCAGATCTTCGAGCTGGTTTGGTCCAGCTAGTGGGGGAAGAGAAGGCTCAGTGAAAGTGGTGCCTACTGCGGAGGGGAGCGGAGCGCTCACCGGTGTCGCGATCTGAGGCACATTCAGCGTCGATACCCCATCTGCAGAGGGAGGAAGGGTGAACTGTCCGACGCACACTATAGGAAGCTGAGGTTCAGGGGAAGTGTTCGCACCTGAGTTATGTCCGGCGTTGCTAGAGGAAGCCATGGATATTGAGGTTGCAAAACTTGGTGGAAGAAGGCTTTTCGAAGCGTTCCCACAGATGGCACCAAATGATGGTGTGCGATCTGGTCACTCCTACCTAGCAGGGGCTATGCTCCTAGCTGGCGCTGGATGAGGTATCTGTACAAAAGAACGTGAAGGATTCCTGGGGAGCTCGCCTGGTGGGAACACTCCGATGCTTAAGTTAGAACTCGACGGAGAACTGAGAGAGTTGCGAGAAATAAATGCTAAGAGTGAAGATGCGCAATTTTCGATTACCCCTTTTCCTTGGGGGTCGGAGCCCTTATATATTAATGCTCTGTCAAATCGGGTGTAACCGCCTTTGATTCTCTGCCGCAGTCGTTATTTGCCAGGGTTGAGCAGGTGGGCGCAGGTAATCGTCACAGGGTACGGCCCTGTCAGTCGAGAGACGTTTTTGGAGCTGGCAGGCACGCCGCCGCCTATTAAGAGACGTGGGCGCAATCCTTTGGATTGGCAGGTGCTGCGCCGTCAAACAAGGGATGTGGGAGCAGTCTGACGGGCATGATCTTGTTAGATAAGAAGCTTCCCGAAACCCTTGGATCGCTCAATAGCGAACTACTTTGTAGCGAGCTACCTGGTGGTGAGCTGCTTGGTGGCGAGCTGTTAGGCTAGGTTTCAGCGAACTCATTACGCCGAGTTGTACCCAGGCTGTCATGCTGAGCTGTCACTTACGTTGAATCATGTCCATGTGTTGCCTAGTCAAGAGGTCGGGTTAAATCACCCTCCATCAATAAACAATAACCCATTTTATTTGAGATTCATTATTTATCCCGTATATTTAATCGTAGTTTTTTTTTTTTATTTCATTTTAAAAGTTAAATGAGTTTGTAATTCATAACTTATTTCATCTAAAAGCATGAGACCCGCACCATGTAGGATTTGTCAACGGATCGGGTCTGGGTACAACCGGAACCAATCCGAGAAAAAATATTGAGGAGCTGGAACCAAACCAGACCTAATAGGATCTTGGGACAATTGGACCTGATCCTGTAGACCCGATTATAGTAAACTTTCTGAAAATATTATACATTTAATTGGGTGTGATCTGATGGACAATTGGGTCTGAGTTGGTTCGGGACTGGGTAAAATCGAATTCGAACTTATAATAACCGGACTATATATCAAGAACCAAAATCGACCTATTGGTACCAGATCCTGGAATCAAAACCGATTCAATCAGTTTGGGTCCATCGGGTTGGACCTGGCCTATTGACAACCTTAAAAGTGTTTATAATAATTCTTTATTTGAATTGAAAAGATTAGTATGGATGTTATAAATATTTAAGTGGATGTATTTTTTTTTTCATAGGTAGAGACATTTTTTAAGTTGATGTTTTGTTTTGGAGATTAGAGATAACTATTTTTACTTTTTTTGAGAATGGATAAACATATGTTTTAAGAAGGGGACTTACATTGAGAGTGAAAATAACCACTCTCTAATGCTCTTTCTCGAGAAGATAGTATGCCACTTGTTTGACCACGCTATTGAAAGAGTCCTCTCATGGGGTTAGTGCAAGGCACAATAGAGTATGATATTGATTGTATATTAGTGGATACAGGTTTGTACCACTTTACAGTATGATGCACATTGCAGTATTGCACAATAGAGTAATGCTTTAAACCTTGTTGTTAGGTCACTTTTGACCTTCAAACATTTTTTGTTCATTTTGAAAATTTTTGCAAGAGTTCTTATCTGGAAAATAATTTTAGATCTTACATAAATAAAATTGATTAAAATCAAAGTAATTTAATCCAGTCGAACATGGACAATGAACCAAATCTATAATAAGGTTATTTTAATACTTTATCATCATATTTAAGGTGTCTTATATTAAACTTTTAGTAGATTAAGAGTCGAGGCATTGGTGAAGTTATTCTATAATATATTTATCTACATTGTCCCGCATATTGGTTGCAATTTATTACTTCATATAAAGCACTAAAGCATGTGAATTTCATCTGTTTGATCCTTGGTCACAGTAATTTCAACCTCAAATTTAGTTTTATGCATTTCTAGAATTTTTTTTTTTTTTTTTTGTGAATTACTTTAATGTATCTATGTCTATCCTAATTGTTCAACTGTATTCATGTATTTGCAAAATGTATTATGATACATAACCTAAAATTGTCTATCCAATTCACTTTTTAAACCTTGATGGAAAGAGGGATAGAAACAAAGGTCTGCACTCTTCAGCCAGATATAGTAATGCCCTAACCATCACTAATCTCTACACTGGAATTTTATCTCTCGTTAGGCTGCGTTTGTTTGCAATGTAAATACCGACTTGAGTAATTAAAATCTTTGGTCCGGTTTTGTCAGCTTTTGGATGGAGCGCAGTTAAACATCGAAAACATTGATGTAAAATTCCACTCATGTTGAGTTTTACATCGATAATTGATGTAAATACCACTTCGACAAGAACAATGTAAATATTTATCGATAATCCCGCTCTTCATTTACAACGGTTCATAATTTTAAACCAATCAGTGTACAACTCTATCAATGTACTTTTACTTTTACACTGCATTCAAACCCAACCTTAAGAACCACTCTTATTTCTGATTACACTGCTTTTATAGTTACTCTTTCTAGTATGATTCGCCAATTAAAAAAGCACCAAGAGCAAAGAGAAATTCATGAATCTGAGTGCAAAGTTGGAGAATAACATGCTCTATTGTTAATCTAGCACAATGACTCATCCAATGTCCTAAACCATTACACGCAATCAATTAGCCACCTCTTGAATTAATCAATCTGAGCCATCCAAGTTCTCCACATATCTGACATTAGAGGCAAGGGAATAAGTGGTTTCTGAGATCGCAAAAAGCACTTAAGAATTGAATTATTTTTAAGTTGTTGGGACGACTTTTTAAGTACAATAGTCATTGAAATATTAATATCATAAATCAGTCCTGAAAATAGGTTACAACAATAATGCACCATGCCCAAGTGATAGTGAATATTGCTTCCCAAGTAAAATCTTGGAGGTGAAGTTTAAAATACATTGATATTGTTATAACAAATGAGCATTGATACAATACATGTTGCCAAGCCTACAATACAATCTGCATTTCTACCTATATCTAGATCATCATAATAAATTAATAATCAATATAAATACATATACAAGCTGCCAATCTACAGTTATTAGTAACATACAAGGTGGGCCACCAGTCCACTGATCTGATGATTCTGATCCACTCAATGCAAGTGGTTGAAATTTCAGGACCCCAGAAAGAAACAGCTTTACCTGCTACTGAAGTTACAGATTGTAAGCCAACCGGTTCTATCAACCAAGGCCTACGTCTTCTCTTGCCTCGAGAGTGCAGCTAATTCCATCACACTCCAAGCTTACAGACAACTTCCTATTTGGTTGTGAAGATTTTACAGCTGAGGCAAAACCCAATGAACTAATTTTTGAGTGTTCTTCAACTAGCTTGTTACCTTCACTTTGGTGCATCTTTTCCTCAAAGGAGATTTTGCTCTCTTTTTTGATGAGTGGAGCTGCGCCTCTTGTCTCTTGTCATGGCTAAGGAGCCGCACATAAAAGGGATTTACAGATGAATAACATACAGATTCACTCCTTAGGTTACCTCTATCAAGACCAACATTTCCATTGTTCACCTGAAAAGAAAAATTATGGCTGGAATAGATAAATGGAGCATTTATAGAATGAAATGTAAATCTTTTAAGGAAATTTAAGGTGTCCACATCAGGTTTTTAAATGTAAGAGGGATCATGGAGGTACAAATCCATCCAGTTCAAATCTAGGTTTTCAACACCAAGTAGCCACTAGCCACCCAACAACCTGACCAACACCTTCTAACTGAATTGGCTAGAGATGTCCTAGTTGAGAATGTTGAATTGTTTGGTCCCAACCTCCCTCCATACATGCACCACAAGGCTTCGGCACAATAGTTACCAAAACCCTAGAGTTAACTCAAGAGTAACTTCTAAATATGTGGCAACTAAATCCAGAATATAAAGATCACAAAGTCCAAGAATAGATGCCAACACCAGGCTACAAAACTCCCTTATACCCTAACTGATGCCTCTATTGCAACCAGCTGGGAATCAAAATATTCAGAGTACCTACTTCCAAACATTAACGAATAACAAGGGAATCACCAGTTGTAGGAGTGCCGAGAAAGTCCTAGCAACATCATGCTTTTCTTGGCCTGCAACAATGTCTGCAAAGGACATGCAACCTCCACTATCGGCTTTGATGGAAAGTTTATCCAAAACTTGACCACCATATTCATGGATATCAAATGGAGGGTGGGAATCCTGTTAAAGAAGTTCAACCAGTTAAGGCTAGTAGAAACTTGAGAAACTCAAATAAAATGACAAATAAAGCAACAAAAAAAATTAGAAATTACTTGCTCCTCCAATGTGTGCTCAATTCGCTGTTTCCATGTGGAAACCCTAGAAGCCAATTCAGTCTGCTTCTCAGTTTCAGCTATACTAGAAAGGAGAGCATCCTGTACAGAAGAAGAAAAATGGTTATATAAAATGTGGACATCCAAAAGATACATGAACACTGAATAATAGTAGCAAAATGAGTTAAGGAAGAAGACAAGATCTGGATACAACCTGTCCAGTCATACCACCTAATTAACATTAAATGCAGTTTACCAGTAGATCTTTAAAAAAAGGATAGATTTGAGTGTTGGTGATGCAGGAGATGAAAAGTCAATATTGGAATTTTTCTGAATTTCAATTTATTTTTCTATTTTTGGACAGTATGGGTATTTTCATCATTTTAACTATTCTATTGTGGGGTGCAGCCCAATAGTAGTGTTTGTCTAGTCATAATTTAGTCATGCCTAAATTTTTAGTTGTTGGTTATGGAGCTTGTGAGTCATTAAGTTTTCTTTCAGTCGGTTTATGAGTGGTAGAAGTGTAATTTTGAGTTTTCCTAGTTTAGAAAATAGTTTGGCTGACTCTAGACAGTCTATATATGTATATAAAGTTGCAAATGTGGACAATAAATTCTAGAGCTTATTTCTGCTTGTGTGACTTGTGGTGAGGGATTCACTGATTCTCAAGGCCCTAGAAGTGATTCCTAGGCATCAAAGACTTGGGAAAAGGTAATTGGGGAATCATCATTCACATCAATTAAAGGACTAAGTTTGGCCCCAGGTAAGTCTCCTCTCCATTAAATTAAGTTCTCAACATCCACATACCTTTCTAGAGTGAGAAACTTGTCTCTCTAAATCTTGCATACCAAAACTTGGTTGAAACCAGATCTGATTCAGCCATCCCCCATATTTAAAAATCTTTTTCATCCCACTGAAACCTTTTAAAGAAATCTCACTAAAAACCCTAATTCTCAAAAGTTTTTAATTTTTATAACTCTTGTCCTTTTGTGCCATATCTTCTCAGAACCCTTTCAAATTCAATCCCCTTCTTTGTTTCACTTACAGAAACCTCCCTCTAAAACATTTGAAGAAATTTCATTCCAATCTTGAGATATTGATTTTTACTGTTTTTTTTTCTCTAGAAATTTCTGCAAATCACAGCCCAAAATAAAGTGTCCCGTGCCTTTCCATGGGTTGCATGTAACTCTTATTTGCTGGTTTAATAAAATTTTACTCATTTATCAAAAAAAAATCTGCATATCACAGGAATCTCAGCACTAAGCTATCTTTCTGACCACTTCATCTATCCATATAATAACCCAAGACAAACCCTCATTTCCCTTCTTTAGAGTCTAGACCTACATCTAGCCCCTCAACCCCAACTTGAACCTAACTCCTTACCATCTGTAACCATCATCATTTATCTTTTCAGTTTCCCTTAAATCTGCTACCAGTGTAGCCTTGGATCACATCAGTCCTACATCAGTTGGGCCTAAAATTTCTTACTTGACTGGAGTTTGGTCCAATGGTTCAACCAAGTTCATGTCAAGCAGCCCTGAGATGATATGGACCATGTTATGATCTTCCAATTTATCACAGTACCAGACTAAACCCTTCCACCTTGTCTACCAGTGCAACTAAACCACTAACACTAGGGCATTTTATGAGCAGTAGTATATCAGGAAATGACAATGCATTGTATGGTCCAAACCACAAAACTGAACCGAACCAAACCAAATTTGTGGTTTGGTTCAGTTTGCACCTAAAAACGGTTTGGTTCGGTTTGATATTTTGCTAAATTGCAGTTTATGGTTTCAGTTTGGTTTATTAGATTTTATAAACCAAACCAAACAGTAAACTATAAACCGAAATTATATATAATATAATATAAATGTATATATACAATATTAATTTTATAAATATTATATATATAATATAATATAATATAATATAATATAATATATCTAAATAGAATGTATAAAATTATAAAAATATAATAATTTCTTTTATTTTATAATAAAATAATAACATAAAAGCTTTAAGTTCTAATTTTTAGGGATGCTATTTGGGCTTTCTAATTGGGTTAAGCCCAATAGAATCATAGAATGATCCAAAATCCCCAAACCATATTAGAAATCACACCACACCATAATAAAATGGTTTGGTCTGGTTTGGCTTCCTGCTTCCATGCCAAAACGGTTTGGTTCAGCTTGAGAATTTCTCCAACTGTAATTTACTGGTTTGGTCTGAGATCTTCTCCAAACCGCACTGAACCAGACCGTGAAAACCCCCTAAGTGCATCATAGGAGTATCACTAATATATAAATATTAAATAACAAGAACTGCATCTAGTATAAAATAGACATTTTAGAATAAAGAAAAGCAAATTAGCTAAAAAAGAATTGCCTACCAAAACCAAAATGATAGCAGTTTATGTAGTTGTCAACATGTTTCTTTTCAGTAAATAAAAGGGAAATTACCATTGTAATAAGGAATGAAAGTGGTAATGTAGCTCTCTTATTCTCTGGTCCTCTAGGATACAATGAGTGGGGAGATCAGCTAATGCTATGGCTGACAGCTTAGCCAAGCAAGGGGCAAATAGGGAATAATTGTATTGGGCCAAATTGTAATTTGTTTTCTTTTTAGTCTGTTGGGAGAGGTTGAAGCTTGTGCCTCTCCGTAAACAGTTGTAACTTTTTCTCTCCATTCTCTAATAAAATCTGATTACTTATAAAAGAAAAAAAAAAGAGGCCTATGTTTACCAGGTGTAAACGGCAAAGATCTTCCAAATTTGCATGAGAGTTTGAATTCTCCTGCTGAAAAGTATCCTTGCCATCAAAACAAGCATCATCACCATGCTGCAAAAAGATCAGATAATAAGTAATGCAGCTAAAAATTTATGTACAATTTCACTGCTATGTGAAAAAACAACTAACCTTCACAGGGACTGGAGGTTCTGTGTCCATGAAATCACTATCGGGCATGTTACCATCAGTTTGCCCAAAACCAGGGAAGTCTGCATGGTCAATATCCTCATCTTCATTCTCAGCATTACTAAACATATTGCAACTTCCGTGTCCGCCAGGAACAAGTGATTGTCGTAGCTGCAACCAAACAACGTAAAATAACAACTTTAAGTTGTATATAAGCAATAAAATCCTTTCAATGAGGCAACTTCCTCAGACATGCAATTGCTGAAAAGTGGCAAAATGAACAACCCAAGGGGCTAATCATTGGGGCTACCTTTTTTTTTCTGGAGGGAGAAAATTCTCTTTAAGAATTGGAATAAAGCGAAATAACTCTGTTGGATGGGGATAAAGTGGTAGTGCAAGTGAGAGCCTTGCTGAGAATCAGGGGCAGAGCCAGGGTGAACCTCTAAAATTACATTGGGGGTGATGGTGGTGAGCCCTATCCTAATGGAGTGGTCCCCCAAAGTGAGGAATTCTGGCACTGTCCCTGCTTCAAATGTATCCAAGGAGACCAGGCAGCTTCTGAACTAAAACATGATGCAATGTAGCTTGTAGCACTTTCAGAGAAAGAGAATAAGAGATAAAGGAAAGACTAAGAAAGGAATTGCCAAAATATATACAAGTTAGTGGTAAAGATGGCAGGGGGAAATGAAAAGGGAGTCTTGTTGCCTATAGTTAGTCTATGGGTGAGACATGAGGTGTTTTCTCCTATGATGGGTTGTTGGATGGTGGTTTTGGCTTGAGTATAAATTTGAGTAGTTGATTTGCATGCTGCTCTGGACACAATAAATAGAAGGGGTTTCTGCCTTTCTGGTCTTCTTCAGTGGTTTAATTGGAAGGCCTTTTTACATATATGCTTATTCTATAGGTCTCTCGGCTGGACTAACAGGGTGACTTCTTTAAATACTGCTGTTCTTTTCTCTCTCTCTTTACATCTGCATCATATATGTTCTGTATACTTTTTCTTGTTCTTTCAGTCAATAAATTCCTTATTTTACCATAATAAAGTAATAAAATCCTTTCGAATAGACCTTTTCATAAGGTGGAGGAGATTGAGAGTCCCGTAGCTTTTCACGGGCATGGAGCTTTTCCTCCCACATTTCTGAAAATTCTGAACTTATAGTGCCACAGAGTCTTGCTAAAGGAAATTGGGCAGCTATAGGCATCTTTGTCGATGAAATTTTCTCAGGCTTTTTCAGAACAATTACTGAATGGAACAAAGCAAATGAAAATCAAGATGCAGAACCAGTAGTTGGTACATAAAATAAATAACAGGAAATAATACGTAAGCAAAATATCAAAGTTTTACACTTACATTTTCTAAAAGCTTTTACTTTCAAGTTCCCAGGCTCATGGGGATTCAAAGGCTTCCATGGATCATCATCATCTAAGTCATCTGAATCATTCCTAGGTCTTGAATATCCTCCATCCATTTCATCTCCATGGTGGTTATTCTCAGGAACACTACAGGCATGAGGATCTGACCACATATTATTATCATTATCAGCAAAGTTGCAACTAACAATAGGAGATTGATTGGCATTAACGTCGTGGCTTTGTCCAACAGATGTTTTCAGAGCAGTTCCACCAGAAAATCTTGTTGGGGATTGGAAACTTTTATGTGTCTTAGACCTCAAAGAGCTGCCCCTTTGGGCAACATTGTGCCCTGTACAAGTCTTATCCCCCTTTAAAAAGTCGTTTACTGCAACAGCATCACAGGGATCTAATAGAAGAAAACCCTGGTATAAATCGTTGGTGGCTAACTGCAACCATGATACAAACCAGGCAATGAGCTGAATAAGAAAGAAAAGAATGCACAATTAAGCTCATACAAATTACCCACAGTTGTACCAGATATGATTCTAATTCCCCAGCATCACCAGTTGTATCTAAACAATCCCCTTCTAGCACAATCAAATTTGCAGGGGGCTTCACATAGTGATCCAGAATTTGGTCTTTACAGAGCCCATCATCAAGACAGTTTTTAGCTTCCACTGCCAACATTAATAAATGTCAGGTAAGAACCTTTAACCCTGCAAGGGAAATGATTGCTACAAATGAACTTACCAGGCACATCATCTAGACCCAGAAACAGTTCATTCTCCTCATCAACAACTTCATGGCAATCACCTCCTTCAGCATGATCCCCAGTCTTCTCTGGCCGATCTTCCTGCCTGTTCCAAAGAGACCTGATTTGAATACAATATTATTGAGTTTTGCTTCGGCATTTTCTTCGTTTCCTCTCTCTTGCTTGTTGGTCTTGTTCTAGAGCCACAACCCAAGCCCTTCTACTACCTTCTAGTAGAAGGTTAATGTCACTACCTTTACGCATTGCAAAACCTAGAGGTTAGTGTTTATTGCTTCACTCCCTGACTTTTGTAGCAATATCAATGCCATTGGCTACTTTCCTTGAGTTTTCCTCCGTTTAGAGACTTCCAGCTGCACTAGGGAGCTTGACCCAATGTACCTTTTCTCTCGTCTCTATAGTCATTTTCCCTTATTTCTTAGTTTGTTATTTCTTTTTATCTAATGCAACTATTTCTTCTTCAAATATAATGTTACTGAAATCTATATTCAGCAACACTATTGATGGAGGATGATTTGACCTGACCCCTTGAGACAATGACACGTGGACCTGACTCAGCACGAGCAACAACTCAGCACTGCAGCCTGACTGCGACTAAGTAACGAGCCTGTAGGACAGCTCGCTACATCATAGCTCGCTATAGGGGGAGCTCGCTACAGCGCGAGTTCGAGGTCCCCCGAGCTACCAAAAGGGAATACTCCAAGGCTATTCCAACTCGCGAGCTAGGGTAACCAGCTCACTCCAACACTTAGGCAGAAAGACTGCCCCAAAGGCAATCCCGATGAGGGTCACCTCAAAGTACCCCTGGGAGCTCGCTACGAAGTAGCTCGCGACAAGATAGCTCGCTGCGTGACAGGGTAGCCCGCTACAAGGTAGCTTGCGACTAAGCAACGCGATGCTCTAAAGGAAGCTTCTATCTGACAAGACCGTACCCGTCAGATTGCGTCACGTCTCTTGACTGACGACGCAGTCCCTGTCCATTCGGCAGACTGTACCCACGTCTCTCGACAGATGGTGGCGTGCCTGTCCTCCCGAGACGTGTCACCCATCCAATTGGGTAGTACCATGCAATGGTCACCTACGCAGCCCTGGCAGGTAACAGCTACGACAAAAGCCCAGTGGCAGTTATGCCCGATTTGACAAGGACGCCTATATAAGAGCTCCCTAGTTAAAGGGAAGCTCTCTCTCGAACATCTGAGATCTTATCTGAAATTTACTTGCTCTCGAGCTAATCTTGAGAACTTAGTGATCTAGCGTGACCTACACTCTTAGCCTCTTTACACTCTTTGCTTTCTCCCCCAACGTTCTAACTAAAGCTTCGGAGTATTCCCGCCGGGCAAATCCCCCGGGAATCCTTCATCTTCTTCCTCTCAGGTGCTGTCCGTTGCCAGCTAGGAGCCAGTCAGCAGCCAGCTAGGAGTGCCCGGATCGTGCCGCATCAACTATCATACAGTCTAGCCAGCTAATGTTTCAGTTTCACCTGAGTTATTTGTCTCAAACTTTTTCTATTTTTATCATGTGTTCTTAGATTTATCTGCCTATTAGTTGTTCCCCCACCAAGTTCTATTGATTGCTCAGATTTATGAACATTCCCAATGCAAAAGTTTCCAGCTTCCACGCTGTGCAAACTCAACCAACTTGTGTTTACCAAAACTCGCACATTTCACATTTGGCCATGCAACTAGTTAAAGACTCAGATGACCTAAATGGGCTGCTAGGCTATTTATTCAGGAAAATTAACAATCACTTAAAATCATGGACATCAAGTCTATAATTCAGATTGTTCGAGTGTATTAATTTTAATCGAAAGCCTCCGCCTAGTATAAATTGAGCTGACAAAATAATTAGAAATCATACTAGTTACCAAAAGGAACAACGTGGGGAGAATAGTAGTTTAAACTCGAACCTCTTCTGAGAAACGAACTCAAGGGAGTGCAAAACCAAAGAATAAAGATATTCCACCTTCCGGCTGTACACTTGAATGGAGCCTTGAAGCAGAAGAGCAGCTGCACATTGCATAAAAATAAACAAACCTTCCATAGAAGTCAGAACATATAACCAAAAATGATTAAAAAATTGAATATGAAGGAGAAATTAGTGCTGGAACGAACCTTCAGCAAAATTCACAGAGAGATGGACATCGTCTTCTCCATCGATCTCACCGGCGCAAATCTTCAAGAGATACTCCTCGAGGTTCTTGGCGAGGTCAACAGCCCAATTGGATTCAAGGTCCCGAAGTGGCTGCAAAATATGGAATTTGCCACTGCTGCCTTCACTGACCTGTTCTCTGTCGCCGTTCATCTTCAATAAACCATAAAAAAACTCGCCGCCATTTGAAACACTAGATCTCGAATGTGGAGCAAAAGTCAAAAAACTAAATAAAAGAATGCAAGTTCAAAGAAGCCCTAAAATTGTGCAGAGAAATGGTTCAGGGAAGAGGAAAAGACTCGTCCTTTGAGCTTTGGTCCTCATTCCGACGACCGATCATGATTTTGGTAAACAGTTAAAAACAGTGGATATAGCCAATGAAAGAGGGAGATAAAGATGATACACAGTGAGGGAAGGAGGGAGGGAGAGTTCACTAAAGTTTGGTGACCGTTTTCGCGCTTTTCCGACAGTCCAAGTCCAACAGTCAGTCCAACTACTGCACTGACCTTGAGATTGCACGCAATGCGCTAATTCCACTTCTGGCCTTTGCACGTACATTTTTCGGGTAAATCGGGTTTGGTTTATCCTGATCCGATCCGACCCCACTTTCCGTGCAAGCAAAAAACTCTGTATACACCATGGCATGGGAATCGAACCGCACATTGTATATCTTGCCATGAATTTAAGAATACATGTGTGAGATATTTGAATGTGTAAATGGATGCTAAAGGATAAGCAGAATTTATTCACAAAGGGAAAAAAAGAAAAGAGGTATTAGAATGGGTACATCTAGGCTAGGACTGTCAACGGGACCGGTCTTGGTTGGAACCAGCTGAATTATAACCGACCCAACATGAAATGTTGAGGAGCTGGACCCGATAGGGTCTATAATTTTTTGACCCGGATTTGAATCGATCGATTCTCGAGACAATTGGGTCTGACCCAATATATTCAATCATAATAAATAAAAAATAAACATTTATGTTTATTATATATTAAATATTATATATAGTATGTATAATTTAGGGAAAATTCCCGATTAATACCCTATACTTTGGGCCTAGTGTCACTTTGGTTCCCAAACTTTAAAATGCGACAATTAAGTATCCAAAATTTTAAAACGTGACAATCCAGTACCTACTAGTTGTTAACTAACCGTTAAATGGCATTTGAAAAAGACACAAATGCCCTTTAAGTATTATTTAATTTGAAGGGATGAGAGTTTCATCATATGAATGGTCGAACCATGCAGGGTGGCTAGGCGAAATTTCAAAATTTTCTTACTCCCATCCGTGAATTGTATTCCCAATTTAGAAAATTAAATTTTCAAGGTTCGTTCTTGTAACCAAATCGGACCAAATCTGAAACCAAAATTAGGGAGAGGTATACTTGATACGGAATCTACACAAAAAGCTCCTCCCAACGCAGGTGTTCACGCCCAAAGAGAGTACGAAATCCTCCCTCCATTGAATATGACACAGTTTAGGATGAGGCAGGATCAACAAGTAGTTCTTCACCAAGAACCTCATATTTTTTAGTAAGAATCGAATGGGGTAGTGAGCACAACTTTAGAATTGTTTCTTCCAGCAAGAGATAATATCAAGTTCAAATCTTGATCACTTCCAAGAGATGGAGATCAAATAGGGTGGGGCGACAAGAGTAGTGAGAAAGAACTGGAGGCAGAAACAATCAAACTGTGTTGTCTTTTCAGGTCCGCCTTGCTCTTTCTGTATAGCCCTTAAAAAGATAATCTCCTAATCTGATTACGAGTTTCTTGATTCAAATATTTATTTGGATCTAAACTCTTTAAGTGATAAGGATAATCCCTTATCTTATCTACAAATCAAGATCAGCCTCTCCTATTCAAATTAGAAGTTCTCTTATCCAAATCTCTATTTGGATCTGAACTCTTTAAGTGGATAAGAGTTATCCTCTTATCCTTATCTGCTGATCCATACCCAGATCCACCCCTATTTAATTAATACAATTAACCCAGTTCGAAATGGGCTTTAGGCTCATTAAGCTTTCAGGCTCACTTTCTTTCAATGCTGGTTAGCTTGGCTCTCTTTGTATGGATTTGCCTGTGACCCAACAACAAACTCAGTGAAACTGAATAGGGGCAAATAACGTTCTAAAAATAGTGTCTTCAGACACGCCTCAAAGCTTCTCCTCCAAATTTACAATGACCCCAATTTCCAACAAAAACCTTCACTTGGAACAGTCTCATCCAAATCCATGTCATCGGTCGTGATCCCTATCATCTAATTTGGAGCCTATGGGCACTTGAAATCACTATAGGAAGAAAAAAAAATTCATGAATCATTATAGTGTAGGACAAAGTGGGTTAAAGTGCCTTCTCACAAATGCCATTTCATGGATAGCAATAGGGGTGCTCATAGTTTGGTGGCCTAATTTTGAAACCGAGCCAATATGACCGGTTTTTGAAAAACCAGTAACCAAAACCGAATTGAAGCTGATTGGTTAACTGTCAGTTTTTTATTTTTTTTTAATTTAGAATATATTATAAAAAACATAAATATATAATAAAAACTAGAAATATATATAATGCATATTTATTAATTTATAATATATAGAAAATATAAAACATATATAATATATAAATATACATAAAATATATAGAAACTGAACTGGTACCTTCATTTTTTAAAAAAATACTGAATTGAAATCAAACCAACTGGTTCAGTTTTGCTTTGTTTTTCAGTTTTTCTTTCTCACCCCTAGATAGCAATGGTTTGTTGCTATGTGAAAAATGATGGATTCAATGAGAGTTTGAAACTTTTTAGAGGGACAATTGATTTTAGGAGCTAAATAGTTTTATTTTAAACTCTGATTTATGTAACATGCTTCAATATTTTTTTTCTCAATAATTTTCCCATAAACCAAACAATAGAAATGAAAAACTTCACACTTTTTCATCCCATCCCATTCCATCATTTTCCATCCCACCCAAATCATCCCACAAACCGAATTGAAGCTGATTGGTTAACTGTCAGTTTTTTATTTTTTTATTTAATTTAGAATATATTATAAAAAAACATAAATATATAATAAAAACTAGAAATATATATAATGCATATTTATTAATTTATAATATATAAAAAATATAAAACATATATAATATATAAATATACATAAAATATATAGAAACTGAACTGGTACCTTCATTTTTTTAAAAAATACTGAATTGAAAATCAAACCAACTGGTTCAGTTTTGCTTTGTTTTTCAGTTTTTCTTTCTCACCCCTAGATAGCAATGGTTCGTTGCTATGTGAAAAATGATGGATTCAATGAGAGTTTGAAACTTTTTAGAAGGACAATTGATTTTAGGAGCTAAATAGTTTTATTTTAAACTCTGATTTATGTGACATGCTTCAATATTTTTTTTCTCAATAATTTTCCTATAAACCAAACAATAGAAATGAAAAACTTCACACTTTTTCATCCCATCCCATTCCATCATTTTCCATCCCACCCAAATCATCCCACAAACCAAACATAAGCTTATGCTCTAAACACTTTGCATAGGAGCCTATAAGGGACTTAACCTAGCCCTATGTCTGTCCGAACTACATCCTAGGCCTCAAACCTGGGGCTACACAGAAGTGAATCAGTCCCAGCCTATGAATCTTGAGTATATAAAATATTTTATACTTTTGTATAAGCCAAAAGACATGATACCTAAAAATCCGATAACTAATCACCTCGTTGTCTAACTATCAATTTATCATAAAAGTAGTAATCAAGCAGCTGGTATTTAACAAAGTTCATGGAATGTTCTAATTGGTCAAAGTTCTTCCAATATCATACCCTTCCATTAACACAAAAATTGCCATATGTTTATATATGTCATACTTAATATAATATATATTATAATAATTTTAGGTTAAAACATATTATAGATATAACAAATATGTTTTATCTAGTGGTTCCATTGACATAACACTAGGAATGCAAACGGATCAGATAAAATTCAAATTAGGATATACTCAAATCTGATCCAATAAACTTTGAAAAATTAATAAATTATTAAAAGAAAGAGAAAATATAAGAGTTTAAATAAAAAACAAAAAACTAAAATATTTTTTAGTATTTTTATCATATATATATTTTATATAAAAAATTATAAAAAAACATCGGATTGGCTACTTTCAAATTGGATAAGGGTGATCTGAATCAAATCCAAAAATCCAAAATGAAAATATCAGAATCCAACAAAATAAGGGGAATTAGGATTGGATCGAATCATGATCCAATTCATTGCACCCCTATATATAACATAACCCTAACCCAACTTGTAGCACATAAAATCCATCTCCCTACAAATGGGATGAGATAGCTGTTAAGTACAGCTTGGTGGAAGATAATGTCAACCCAGTAAATGGGGCACGGCAGGACTGAATAGTTGGTGCATGGAACGTACTGTTCAGATGTGCTTAGACCAACACGGGTAAATTCACAAACAATGCTAGCTCCTCATCAACACAAATTGTAAGCCATATCCCATAGAAACCCCGAGATAATAGAATCATCAACACAAATTGTAAGCCCCAAGGCTTCAATTATAAGTCCTTGAGCGATTGAGGAGAGACTTTGAGGCGGATTGAGAGATAAACATCTAAATGAGGTCAGGTATCTAAGACTACCATAAATACTGATATTAGGTAGATGTAAATTTGATTCATTTATATTTAGATTTGAATTGAATCTTATTTATCCGATTTACTTTAACTCAAATCTAATTGAGATTATATACTATTAATAAAATGAACTGAAAATGATTTTGATATTGTATATCATGAAAAAAATGTGGAAGATAAATTTTATGAAACTTGAATTAATATATTTTTTTACCAACTAAGGGCTGGCTCGCTGGTGTGTTAACTGGTTTATTCCAGCGTTCACATGGAATCACTCAACGAGCACTTTGGGGAAAAGGGGGTCAGGAGGAAGTTATTAATGGTGCATAGCACTGAATATAAAAAAAAACTAATATATTCTTTCTAATAATACAAACATTCGAACCAGCTATACTAATATATAAAATATTAATTTTAAGTTTACATGTAAGCATATCTTTATATATATATATATATGTGTGTGTGTGTGTGTGTGTGTATATTATATATATACACTAGGGCTGTTCATAAGAAGGCCCAACCCGACCAAATCGACCAACCCGGACCGACCCAACCTGAGTCGACCGGGTTTTCATCAGCATCGGTCGGTTTCGGTTTTCTTGTGTAAAAACCAAAACCGACCCGAAACCGATCCGAAACCGAACCGAACTAGTCTTCCTACTTAACTAGTCTTCTACTAGTTCGGTAGTTCCTAGTTTCCTACTTAACTAGTCTTCTACTAGAACTAGAACAGTCCTATCTTCTAGTTCCTACTTGACTAAATTATATCTATCCTAGTTTCTATAGTCTTTTACACCAAATAGGCAACCCATTAGGCA